GCAGCAGGAACCAAACTAACCCTAATGCGATGAAGCAGAGGGCGGTAGAACCGCTAGCGTGGTACTACCACTCCCCCTTGCGGTACTACCGCAAGGCAGGGATAGTCCAGATACGGGAAGGCATAGACATATAAAAATACATCCGTAGCAACTTCCGCTGAGTTGGGATCTGTGCAAAAATCCGACATGGTAGTACCGCAAGCCAGGAGTGGTACTACCGCGTAGGGCGCGGATGTAAAAAATTACATCCGCCCCTACTTCCGCTCATGTTGCTGTGCCAGGCCAGGGCTCATAGTACTACCGCACCCAAGGGGCGGTAGCACCGCACAAGGCGCGGATGTAAAAAATTACATCCGCCCCTACAACCGCTGGAGCGGCTGAGCCTGGCCTGAGGCCACGGTACTGCCGCTCCCAAGAAGCAGTACTACCGTGAGCACCTGCGGTACTACCGCGCCTACGGCCGGTACTACCGTAAGGCCCCGCGGTACTACCGCTCCAAAGAGCAGTACTACCGCGAGCCTTAGAGCAGCAACACTAGAAATCCTTAATTTGGCAGAGACACGGTTAAACGGAGGATGCTCCAAAGAGCCAAAGGAAAGGGGTGCGAAAGGAGGGGACGTGTGCGTTATGATTCCACCCAAACCTTTCCGACGCGGACCCGCTCTTAATAGTACGACTTTCCTATGACTCAAATCCACCGAAAAGAAACGTAGAGAAACACCATCTTCAACAGTCTTCGAGGGGCATGAAATCATCTTGTGCCTAGTCATGATTTGTCTGAAATACTCAGTGCACACGATTAGTCCACAAACACATTGTCATCAATCACCAAAACAACTAAGGGATAAATATGCCCTTACAACCGTTACCACGGCGTCGTGCTGACGAAACTCTACCTCGACCCTCTGCTGGATAAGGAGTTCGAGGGACGTCATCAAGCTAAACGTGTGCTGAACTCGGAGGTGCCGTACGTTCGGTACTTGATCGGTTGGATCACGAAGACGTTTGACTACATCAACCGCGTTAACCTAACGCTTTCGCTTTCGGTCTACGAGGGTACGTAGACACACTCTCCCCCTCTCATTGCTATGCACCTCCTAGATAGATCTTGTGTGATCGTAGGAATTTTTTTAAAATTGCATGCTATGTTCCCCAACACACCCGACACCGCCCCGCCGGCTCGCCTGGACCCCCCGCCCCCCGACACTGCCTCGCCCGACTCCGCCTGCCGCCATCGCCTCAGGTGAGATTTTCTCCTCTCCTCTCCTCTCCGTTCTGTCTCCTCTCTGTCTTCCTTCTCTGTAAAAATACCGTTGGATGCTAGCAGTTTATCCAAAACTGGAATTAGGGAATTCAAAATTAGGGGGTGCTAGCTATATAAAAGTATGCTGTCAAAATTTGAATAACTATGATTCTACGATTGAAAATGCTCTAGGGGCATTTCAGGCATTTCAACAGATAGCTCATACAACAATCACAAGCTAGAATTACAGAAAAGAACTGGACAGACAATTATGTGGGCACACGATTCTGTGGGCAGTTTCCAGAATCATAATTCTACAAAATTATATCATGAAAAGAACTGGCCCTAAATTAGTGTCCTACTTGAGGTGTTCTCTTGGATCAGTGAGCGGATTCATTTCAGCACTGAGGGCAGGGGTGACCATATAAGGCCTAAAACAGAACCACCTTAAGATATGTGTGAAAGCTTGTATCATACTACCACTTTGCCATAGATAACCAAATGTTCCATTTCTTTCGTTGTGCAAAATCCATGTACCTGATATAATTTTCAAAACATTGACTAACTCTCTTTGTCTGACCATCAAATTGTGGACGAAAAAGGTGCTCATGTGTAATTTAACTGCTGATTTCTTGAACAAATGTTTCCACATTGATTGGTAAAAATCCGATCCCTGGAAGTGACAATAAATGGAGCCAAACTTATTTTGAACACATGATCACTAAATGCTTTAGCTACTATATGCATTGTAATATGTCGTTTTGGAGCAATGAAATGAGCATACTTTGTGAACATGTCCACCACAACTAATGCAAGGTCTTTGTTACGAGAGATTAGACAAAAAAGAGTCTTCCCCGCTTTAGATTATAAAGCAACGACCAACCGATACAACGAGCTTGCTGGGGCTGCAGCACAAACGAGCCCAAAAGAAAAAGAAGAGAAAGAAAAAAGAAACAAATGTCGATGCCGACAACTCAACTAAGCGAAGATGGCCGACACCCGTTGCACCCTCCGGAGAAGTACCACCACCCGCCAAGCACTCCGAAGCCTCGCGTACCAAGCAACACCTTTTCTTTAAAATCAAAGAATTTTATAGAAAGTACTCGCAAGTTCGATGAATTTTTTTTTTCAAAATGGATGAACATTTTTTCAAAATTTTATGAACTTTCTGCAAATTTGATGATTGTTTTTCAAAATCAGTGAACTTATTTCAAATCCGATGAACTTATTTTAAGATTGATCAACTTTTTTCAAATTCATCATTTTTTCAAAAATCATGAACTTTTTTGAATTCATGATTTTTTTGTTTTTTCCGATTACTTTTTTCTCTTTTTTTTGTCAAATGCGATCATGTACATGAGTCGTCCCACCAGCACCGGCGTGTGGGCGAAGGTGAACTTCCGTGGCGCCTGAAGCGCCGAATAGGAGCTCCCGAATATTGTCCATATTGGGCTTTGAAGGTAAAGTTCATGCGCAATTAAAGATGGATCACAAGAAAAGAGGAAGCGAATATGATCCACACTGGGCTTCCAATGTAAAATTGTAAAGACGAATTTCGAAAAAGAAAATCCTGAAACGAACGAGATGACTAATACCTCTGAGAAGTGAGAACCGCTAAAAAGGACTATACCTCTGAGAAAGTGCAAAAATAGAGACAAAAGATGGAGATGCGGGGGATCAAACCCCATGCCTCTCGCATGCAAAGCGAACGTTCTACCATTTGAGCTACATCCCCAAGAGCAATTGATTCAAAAGTTATGCTTTCTAGACAGAAAGTATTTACTGTCACACAGTTTTGTCATAGTTGATTCACAACAAATATATGATGAATAACACTAGAACATGCTACTTTTCGGATTCTTCCTGGTGAGCTGAGAGTTGGAGGTAGTATCAGGCGCACCTCAAGGTCCAGTGGCAGAATTGCTTTAATGAAGAGTCTTGAAGCTTTTGCCAATGTGCTTCCTTCGCATTTTGAGGGGGTCACATCCACATGTCCTTGCCATGCCAACATTGAATTTTCCTGAAATCTATCTTTGAATAGGCATTAGTTCAATGACATATATGTTGTTATTAATTAGCAAAACTACTCGAGGATTCGTTACACTTTCAATAGGGCATCCATCTCGGAGATCGCGCACACCCTAGTTGCTCTCGTATCACGCTAGCGAAGGAGCCACTGCCTTGCCCGCGGCCATCCTGCAACAAGCATGGATCATGATATCCGTGGTGCCCTTGGCGCGGAGGCCACAGTGGAGTACGTCGACATATGGCGCAGTCTCCTCTGTATCTCTCTAAGGCCGCAGCCCGGCACCATCCGTTGATGCTGGATGGATAGCGACGTATACACCACGAGAGTGCTGCACTTGCAACTAACTTGGAAACAATGGACTCGGCGCGCCTCGCCCGTCATGGACCGCCACACACATCTGAATGTGTTCCCTACGACCAAGAAGACGAGACAATGCATCACCTACTCATCGGCTGTGCCGTATCTTGCATCGTATGACACGCCATCCTCTCCCAGTATCTTCGACGGTGCCATGCCATCGCATACCCACCTAGTTCACACCATACAAGAGGAAGTTCACACCTGGGTGAAAGCGGGTGCTAAAGGGCTAAGCCTCAACATCCATCTACTCTGATTTTCATGCTACTTGGGGCTAAGCAACCCCCTCTCTCTTAGCTGAAATGTGTTCTTGTATGCGTCTTCTAGCGTATGCTATACGAGAACCGTCATCATATAACTTGTACGCTCTATCAGTAGAATGATACGCAACATGCGTAATCCAGAAAAAGGGACCGCAATATAACGTTGGCTGGGAGAGGTTGACATTTGATATGAGTTGGCAGTTTCTTCATAAGGCATGGCATTTCCTCGGAAGAAGAGAATTTTTGCGGCAAAAAATGGCAGGATTTGTCATCTCCCACCTACGTACTAGGTAATAAAATTGTAAAAGAAGAAAAAGATCCGCTTAACGTCCCCTCTCAGCGCTCGCCAGTTATCCTTACGAACAAGAGGCCGCAAGACGGCAAAACTCCGACCGAGTCGCATGCTTATGTGACCGACGTCGATGGAGATGGATGGATTTGCCGCTCTCCGGCAACGCAACATTTGGCCGTCTCTGGCCTTGCCGATGATAATCAAAACCCCATGCCGCCATGCCGGCGTGTCCTCCTCCACCCACCTCTCCCCGCGCAGCCCGATGCCAAGTCCGCGCACAAGTGAAACCACGCGCGCGCACGCCGGGCAAGCCACGTCATGGGACATGCGGCAGCTGCCATGTGGGGCCGCCGATCCTGGAGCCAACGCGGCAGCAAGTTAGGTCCGTGGTCAGCATGACAGGGAACATCCATCCACCCACTCCCACCCACCTTCCCAGCCGTCTCCTTCCTCGGCTCTTCCTGTTCGAACTTGGCTTCCCCGAGCGAGACGAGAGCTCACCCAGCCGCCGGTCGCGAGGTCAGGTCACTCACCGCCTCGCCGCCAGCTGGTTTTCAGCGTGTCGTCCGCTCCGCCGATCGCCGGAGAGGGGAGTCCGTCGGCGGAACCCGGTGAGTTCCCGATCCCGGCCCCTGGTGCGGGAAAACTCTGAATCAAGCACCGGGAAACATCGGATCTGGTGTGATTCCTCGGAGCTCCTGGACTGGGACAGGCACGCTGCGAGCTTGGCTTCGCGGTGAACTGGTTCGAGCCGGCTCGCAGATCGCGGCCGGGTAGCTGCCGAATGGGAGATCGGGGGGCGGCCGCGGTGGCGAGATGGTGACCGCGAGCTTCAGCCGGAGCACGTCGGCGCGGCTCACAGCGAGGGGCGGCGTAGGGAGCCCCCGGGTCTCGTCCGCGGCGGCCGCGCACCGCAAGTGGTGGGGGTCACCGTCCGGCCCGTCTTTCGAGAGCACCGTCGCCCTGGCCCTTTGCCTGGCCTCCGCCGCGCTCGTGCTCTCCTGCGGCCTGTACCTGTATGTTTCCCGGTACCTGGGCCAGGGCCAGGGCCGCGCGGTCGCCGAGTTCGCCGGCGACAGTCTGGACTCCTGCAACGTGTTCGACGGCAGCTGGGTGCGGGACGAGAGGTACCCCCTGTACAACAGCTCCGAGTGCCCGTTTGCGGAGAGGGGGTTCAACTGCCTCGCCAATGGCCGGAGGAACACCGAGTACCTCAAGTGGCGGTGGAAGCCGCGGCAGTGCGACATGCCGCGCTTCAGCGCCCGAAGCGTGCTGGAGTGGCTGAGAGGGAAGAGGGTCGTGTTTGTGGGGGATTCAATGAGCCGAACACAGTGGGAGTCCTTCATCTGCATGCTCATGACAGGGGTGGACGATCCCAAGAAGGTTTATGAGGTGAATGGCAACCAGATCTCGAAGACGATCCGATTTTTAGGAGTGAGGTTTGAGTCATTCAACCTCAGTGTGGAGTTCTTTCGATCGGTGTTCCTTGTGCAGCAGACCCCTGCTCCTCCTCTACATGTGACAAAAAGGGTCCGCGCGATTCTCAAGCTCGATAAGATGGATGATCTTAGCAGGAAATGGGCGAACGCTGACGTGCTTATTTTCAATTCAGGACATTGGTGGACTCCCAGCAAATTATTTGACATGTGAGTGTTCTTGCTTCAATCCTGAGCATCTTTTGTTTGTGGGTAATTGTTTTGGATTATAATCACTATCTTGCTGATTTGCAATTATCTGATCTTATATTTTGGTTTAGTATACCTGTTCTCGAAACAAAAACGCTAGACTTACAGACAAACCAACCTTTGCAATTATCTGTTTGTATATTTTGGTTAAGTTATCTGTTATCAAAATAAAATCCTTAATAATTGATAGTGTGTGTATATCAGTGTAAGCCAAGCAGGCACCAGAATGTTCCTTTGGAAGGAATCAGTGACCAGGACTGATTGTAGCAAAACTTCCGAGGGTCACAAATAGACAAAAACAAATCACCGGATTGTGTTATTGCAAAGCTAACTTCATACCATTTCTAATTACCGGATTGTACTGCAAAGTTAACTCCGTACCATTTCTTGTTATTTCTTGAGGTCAAAGCAACATTAAAGGGTGTTAGGTTCCTATGCCACAACTTAGTGAGGCTGATATTAATAAATTGTAGGCCCCGCCTGAGGAAGGTTGCTGGTCAGGCACTGCTCACTACGGGAGTATGTTTTGATGATGCTAGGTTTCGTGCATCCATACCAGATTATTTCATTTTTTGGTATAAAAATTAGGCCCTGTTTTTAATGTTTGTAAGATATCGCCACAATTGTAAAGGCTGCGGCAAAAAATAATAAGCCTGCTATGACTGGCAAAAAATGATGCCAAGTACGGGAGTATGTTTTGATGATGCTAAGTTTCATGCATTTACTATTTGTTGGAGTTAAAATCTTACAAACATGGCAAAAATAGGGAGTAAATTTTAAATGCCAAAGAAACTTCATTGTCTGGTCTTAGTATGTGTTGGAATTTGTTGTTATTATTGAACAAATTTGAATTTTTTTGGCGGGGGTTGTTAATTATCAACTAGTAACCTTTCTTTCATAAATCTTAGAGATTCTAGTTTGGTCTTTACAACAGGGGTTGTTATTTTGAGGCTGGAGGCTTGCTTAAACTGGGAACATCAGTTAATTCTGCTTTCAAAATGGCACTGGAAACATGGGCTTCATGGGTCAAGGAAAAAGTGGATTTAAAACGAACACGTGTCTTCTTCCGGACATATGAGCCATCTCATTGGAGGTGAGTTTCACACATACACTAAATTCTTTTCCCTAATATATTTTATTTTTCCTCATTATTACTTCATTATAATTCTAGCCTTTGAACGGAAGGTGTAATCCCGCTATGATTGTGGAGTACAGACATCATCCAAGTTATCATTTGAAAAACATACAGTAATTGTTTTTTCTTCTTATTTTCAGTGGCTTGAACCAAAAGGTATGCGAAGTAACAGAAAGACCTACAACCGAGGCCATAGGAGCTGACAGGAGTGAATTTAGGGATATACTTGCTGATGTTGTTGCGAACATGAGCGTTCCTGTCACTATACTGAATGTGACTTTGATGGGGGCCTTCAGGAGTGATGCGCATATTGGTATTTGGAGTCATCCTTCTACCATACTTGATTGTAGCCACTGGTGTCTTCCCGGAGTTCCAGATGCTTGGAATGAGCTAATATTTTCTCACCTTTTGACGGATGGTGAGTTTCTTATCTATGATAACATTCTTTCCTGGTGTTATTTAGGATAACAAAGTTAATACAAAGTTGGGTCATCTATTTTGGAACGGAAGGAGTAGTACCTTGTAGTGAATAAATAAAATATTGTTTGTCTGATATCTTGTTTCTGCTTGCAAGGAACCTGGAGTTTCTTGAACCATGCATAGATAGCTGTATATAGGAGTATTCGGTAGCTGTGCCGTCAACATGAGCTTTACAATTGTGTAGGGTCAAAATAGAATAGAGTGCAATAACTGAGACTCACCTGTACAGTGTGAATGAATTCAGCATATATATGCTCAAGTACTGAAGCAACTCATTACGAAGTTATCCAGAATAAGCCTCAGATCTGGAACAAAAAATGTAGATCTAATGAATATGGTACAGAAAGCTGAAACCAATATTCAGCTGATTCCGGAAATTCGTATTTCATGAACTTAGTTTGTACTCCCTCCGACCCAAAATATAAGAACGTTTTTAACACTGGCATAGTGTCAAAAACGTTCTTATATTCTGGGACAGAGGGAGTAGTACTTAGTTCTGCAAGTATTTATGTCCTTAAACTTGATGGCTCGCTCATTTTGGAGTTGAATAATGGCTCCTGACGCTGCCTCATTTCCAATTCCGCAGGTTGGCGAAAGCTGGCTGGCTGACTATTTGACTGTACACTCAACCTTTTGTTTTTCTGGTCGAGTTTCATGTTGCTTCTTGCATTTTTATGTGCCGATAAAAGGAGCGAAGACATTAAGTCTCGGCAGACAGCAGTATGCGTACAAGTTGCTCCATTCCTCATCCTTGCTTCGATTAGCTCCAGTAAGAATTGCATATCCCCTGTCATATAGGTAGATGCTCGGCTGTTATCTGCTTTTGCGTTTTAGTCTTTTTGGACATAGAGAACATGGCAGTTTGTAACCTGCATGCACAAACCGATGGAATGCAATTTTGGAAATTCATCTCTCTCGCATGAAATCGGTCTGCCGTCATTTGTTTATGCGTCGTCACATTAAACAAAGCAGTTCTTCGCATCCAGAGACTCCCCCTGCTCTTCTGTAACTGCTATACGCGCAAAAAATCTGATATTTTGCAATCGGGGAAACTCATTTCTAATTGCATTGCTGCCTGGCCACTTCCACGGTTCAGGACGGCTGGGCGCCGACCTCTCTTCTCCACGTTTGTTGGTTCTCCATAATGAAAATGAAAATGAAATGATGCAAGGGGCAGTAGACCAATAGTATGCATGCCTACCTGCCCGGCGTGGCGGATCCATGCGTGTATTTCCTGACCGGCTGCTATGATGCCAGTTGCCATCAACGAGAGGCAAAGGCAACCCAAAGAGGAAAGCGTGCTGCCGTGCGGTTCCGCGATTTCAAGTGCCCCTGGACCTAAACCCTAGTGGCTGCCTCCGAGGAAAAAAGTGTGGTGGCCTGGGGGATTTAATCCGGCGGCGACACTAACGGGGGATGAGGTTGGTTGGGGGAGATTGCACGGGTGGAACAAAAGCAAACTTTGCTCAAAGCGCACTCTGTCGTTGGATGCACACGGAAAAAGGACTTCGGCGCCACCAAGAATTAAATGTGTTTTTGAATTTCTGTAAAGGTGCTTTTGTAAGTATTTATGCTACTTAATATATGGTCTTTAGCGAGCAGGGCATGTGTATAAAGTTTGACGGTGAAATACATTATGAGCAGATCTACACAAAAAAAACAAACAAATTTGTCCACTTTTCACAGTGAAGAGTGAACAGTGCACGTACCGTTCATCATTCTTAAAATCATGTTTTGTCATTTTCCTGTTCTTTAAATTTTACATTATGCTTGAGATTTCTTAGGTAGGATATTAACTACGAGCTTGTATTTAATACTGATATTAGGAAGGATATTAATTACAAACTCATATTACATATGCTAGTAATCACATGTTTGTTTTGCAGGGTCATGGTAATTGCGTACTTTTTCGTTCTTTTATATAAAGTGTATTTTTTTAATAAAATTTCACAACATAAGATGCATTTCTTTCAATTCCTTCAAAAAATTAGCCCTACAGAAAAAAGAAAAGTACCGATTGTCTGCATCTCTCTTTCTAAAAAAGGGAAATTATTTCTTCCCCGATTGCATGTATCTCTTTATATCCTAGCCTAACTGATTTACTTGTCGTTAGCAAACGAATTATCCATGGGTAATTCCGTTATAAATTCTCTATAATTTTGTGCCTTGGTCACCGTGACAAGTAAAATACACCTTACATAAAGGAACGAAGAGAGTACATGGTTAGTGCCAACATTGAAATTTGGTATTGACATCAATTGCACACTAAATATGTTGAGCACTCATTTGTTGAAGCAATTTAGGTCGTTTGGTTGATATAGTTTGATGGTCGAGTTTAATTGGATCTTCCCGTTGGATATTTTTATAGTAGTATATAGATAGATAAACATGAGTAGGGCATTTTGGAGACCGAGCTCCATGGAGCCTTTTATTTTGAATAATTCAAAATTCATAAATTTCAGTTTCAAAAAATTCTGAAAAAAATTCACATGTATGCAAGGATGTAAAGTGTATGTATGAAAAATTTCAGGATGAAATACGTTGAATCGCAAGTTGTACAAAAAAACCAAAATCATGGACTTTATATGCTAAAAGGCCCCAAATTTGTCTTTTTTGCATAACTCACATTTTAATGTATTTCGACCTGAAAATTTGCACACATGTACATTATGTATCTAGGTATATGTGTATTTATTTTCAGAATTTTTGAACCTGAAAAGTTCGAATTTTGAAGTTTTCAAATAAATGCCTCCATGGAGCTCTGGCTCCGTTTGCCATTTTCGGATAAACATTCCTTTTTCTGGGATAGGGAAGGGTCTAGAAGGACCAAAGAGGTGGAGCAGTACATCTTACAACCAAGACCTATAAGAAAACAAAAAATACACGAAAGTCACTAACTTTTATAAGGAGAAACCCCCCAAGCAACATAGAAAATTGTAGTTTGGTTTCAAATCCACCTCCACTCAAAACCAACCACGACGTCGCCAAAGACGAAACAACTTGATACGCCACGACCTCCATAGCAGCACCAGCAGCAGGTCATGGACTTGAAGAAAATATGCCCTAGAGGCAATAATAAAGTTGTTATTTTATATTTCCTTATTCATGATAAATGTTTATTATTCATGCTAGAATGGTATTGATCGAAAATTTAAATACATGTGTGAATACATAAACAAATACCATGTCCCTAGTAAGCTTTTACTAGACTAGCTCGGTGATCAAAGATGGTTAAGGTTTCCTAACCATGGACATGTGTTGTCATTTAATAACGGGATCACATCACTAGGAGAATGATGCGATGGACAAGACCCATCTGTTAGCTTAGCATATTGATCATTCGGTTTATTGCTATTGCTTTCTTCATGTCAAATACACATTCCTTGGACTATGAGATTATGCAACTCCTAGATACCGGAGGAATACCTTGTGTGGTATCAAACGTCACAACGTAACTGGGTGATCATAAAGATGCTCTACAGGTATCTCCAAATGTGTTTGTTGAGTTGGCATAGATCGAGATTATGATTTGTCACTCCGAGTATCAGAGAGGTATCTCTCGGCCCTGTCAGTAATACACATCATAAACTTGCAAGCAAATGACTAAGGAGTTAGTTACGAGGTGATGTATTACGGAACGAGTAAAGAGATTTTCAGTAATGAGATTGAAGTAGGTAGAGAGATACCGATGATCGAATCTCGGGCAAGTAACATAATGATGGACAAAGGGAATTATGTATATTGTCATAACAGTTCGACCGATAAAGATATTCGTAGAATATGTATGAGCCAATATGGGCATCCAGGTTCCGCTATTGGTTATTGACCGGAAAGGTGTCTCGGTCATGTCTACATAGTTCTCAAACCCGTAGGGTCTGCACGCTTAACGTTCGTTGACGATATAGTGTTACATGAATTATATGATTTGGTGACCGAATGTTGTTTGGAGTCCCGGATAAGGTCATGGACATGACGAGGAATGGTCGGGAGGTAAAGATTGATATATAGGACGATGATATTCGGACACCGAAAGGATTTTGGGATGCACCAGGTAGCCATCGGGTCACTGAAAGGGGTTCCGGACCCCCCCCCAGTAGGTATATGGGCTTAATGGGCCAAGGGAGGGACAGACCATCCCACAGGGGGCTGGTGCGCCCCTTTCCCTGGCCGGCCAACCCTATGGAAGGAAAAAGAGGAGGGCTAGCCCCTCCTGCCTTTCCCTCTCATGAAAGAAAGGAAAGGGGGGGCATCCTCCCTGCCTCCCCCCGCACCTAAACATGGCAGGGGGCGCCACTTGGGAGGAAACGCCAAGTAGGATTCAGCCTACTTGGGGCGCCCTCATGGCTGCTCCCTCCTCCCCCACCTATATATATATATGAGGGAGGGGGCGCCTAGCACACAAGAACAGAATCTTAGCCGTGTGCGGTGTCCCCCTCCACCGTTTACACCACCGGTCATATTTTCGTAATGCTTAGGCGAAGGCCTGCGGAGATCATTTCACGATCACCGTCCGTCACCTCGCCGCCGTGAACTCATCCACTATCTCGCCCTCTTGCTGGATCAAGAAGGCGGAGGACTCCACCGAGCTGAACGTGTGCTAAACGCGAAGGTGTTGTACGTTCGGTACTCGATCGGTTGGATCGCGAAGAAAGTTCGACTACATCAACCGCGTTGTGAAACGCTTCCGCTTACGGTCTACAAGGGTACGTAGACACACTCTTTCCCCTCGTTGCTATGCATCTCCATGGATAGATCATCGTGTGTGTGTATATATTTTTTCTCCATGCAACGTTTCCCAACAGGACTTCGAGTAGAAGCTTTATTGCCTCCCCGTTGGCTCCTGGCCCGGGAGAAAGAAATATGGCCATCTTTCACCCAGAAAGATTGAAGGCATCGTGACGAAGCCGACAAACAATCACCATAGTAGGTGCATAGATTATTCATGGTCGACATCGATGAGGAGCTCCGACACAACCCGCAAAAATGATCTCTCCACAACTCCTAAGCTCTTTACACATCTCCATGCTGGCTCCAAGATCCGAGGACAAGCGATGGGCCATCCTTCCATGAAGAAGATTATGGCTAACGTGGTTATTGCGGGAGTAACTTCCAGATCCGCTTCCATCCATTCCTCTCAACCGAGTCGGAGCGTCACTGGAGAGCGAATCGAAGTGCTCCCCAGAGTCGCCCGCACACACCAAGATCCAAGAAAAAAAAACTCCCAAAAAGAAAAAAAGGTGCGGGGTTCAAACTTCAAACTCACGTTCATCGCCACGGATGAGAGGGAGAGGAGGTTGAGGAAGAACCAAAGAGGATCTGGATTTGAGCGCCTCATAAAGAGAAGCACAAAGAAAACGATCCTAACACAAATCACGAAGTCACAGACACACACACACTCCTTCCAATCTTCTCCGGCGGACAACGTCGATGAAGGAGGGTGGTCATAACCAAGCACAAGGCTGACCTCACTCACAACTTATATGAACGAGAGGGAGATGAAGAGAGGGGAAGAATGAGGGTGAACTCAATATGTATTTAGATAAAGACTTCAATTATGAGTAACTTCATACCTATTTGAATATCCATACAAAATGAAATAAACCCTCGCTCAGATCGAATCACTTTCCAGTATGAGAACATGGTGTAGCATGGAACTATCTAGCCCGCCCGGGTTCAAGTTATGAAGTGACCTGTGATGCTTAGAGTTTTTTTATATAAAATATGTCTCTAAGGGCTAGTCTTGAATGGTCTCATTTTTTAATCACTTTCTAGAATTGTTTTGAGATCTTTCTTAATTGGCTTTTTTTGGCATGGTTCTTACTTGGCTACTACCCAACTTTAATACTCCCTCAGTCCCAAAATTCTTGTTTTAAATTTGTCTAAATACAGATGTATCAAGTCACGTTTTAGTATTAGATGCATCCGTATCTAGACGAATCTAAGACAAGAATTTTGAGACGGAGGGAGTACGACTTTATAATTGGTCATTAAAAAATATATTTCCCTATTAATTCGATTCTTCTTTCCCAGCCCAGTCCAAGGCTTGACCAAGCGTGCTGCCCCTCCCTCTCTCTCGACGATATAACCAACCCCAAACCCCCGCAACGCCGGCCATCCACACACACTCCACTGGGCACAATTCCACCATCAGCAATGCCTCCTCCCCTTCGCATCCTCACCCTCCTCCTCCTCATCCACCTCCCCTTCGCCCTCTCCTCCCGCCACCACCACAAAGCCCTAGCGCCGCCGCCCCGAAAGGCGCCTCCTCCGACGGCCAACTACGCGGCGCCGCTCCCAGTCCTCCTCGCCTGCAACTACGCGAGTCGGAGAGTCCCCGGAGAGCGAATCGAAGTGCCCCCAATGCAGCCGGCGGACACCAAGAAAAAACTCTCAAAGAAAGAAAAAAGGTGCGAGGTTGTGAGGACTATGGCGACCGAAGCAAACACGTCGCCATGGTTCTGACCAAAAGGTGCCAACATAAGAGTCACCTATTGGGCTTATTCAAACTTTCGCCTCACGTTAATCACCATGGATGAGAGGGAGGGGAGGTTGCGAAAGAACCAGGGAAGATATGGATTTGACCGCCTCATAAAGAGAAGTATGAAAATAAGGATCCTAACACTATGCACGGACACACCCTCCTTTCATCCTTCTCCGGTGGACAACGTCAATGAAGGAGGAAGGAAGAAGGGTGGTCATAATCAAGCACAAGGCTGACCTCACTCACAACTTACATGAACGAGAGGGAGATGGAGAGAGGGGTAGAATGATGGATGAACTCAACATAATTAGATAATGGATAATGACCCTGATAAGTGACACACGTGTAGCACGGACACATGGCAACTCCAAACATTTTTTATGGCAAGTTTAGTGACGTGAGGATGGCAAGTTTAGTTATCAAGTATGACAATTTCTTTTTGGATGACAAGTTTTAGTTTTTT